TTTGTCTCTCTCTCTTAAAACAAAATCATGACATGTAGGTAGAAAGTGCCCCGTTCTTCCACTATTTTACGCCAGTTCACCTTATTGTAATCACTTGCTTAAAAATCTGCCTCTGAGTTTGGCAGTATGAGTTCCATGAGGTTCCTGAGTATGTTTGTGGTTCACCTGTGTCTTTGTGTCCAACACAGGGTCTGACATTCAGCAGACATTTGTTGAATAAGTGGAGCTATTGATATTGTCTGCAGTGACTGCAACAATAGATGGTTTAAAGGTGGGTTAGGAAATCATCTCATGACATCACCATACGGGCCATTTTCCCCTCCTTTTATATGGAATTGATAGGAAAGCAGTTTGCACGTAGAGTTTGGATTTATTCTCTAAGAAAAAGGGCTTTGCACACTAGGGGGCCTGCTTGCCACACTGTGTTGAATCTGTTAATTATGGCGTTGTAACCACAGTTTTCTGCAGATTTGCGATTCTTGTATCAGCTACAGGTGGCAGTAGGTACTGGCAGTTATGACTTGCTAAGCAATTTTTGTGCAAATGAATTTGGGGGTGGTTCCTCTTGAAAGGAGGTTATAGGAGACTTCATGATTAGATGCAAACTCTTCAAAACCCAGCCTATTGATTTTTAATTTAATTCAGCATTTTCTGAGCCACCTTGTAAAATGCCTGCCTCATCTGTTAAGCATATTTCATCATTCAGTTTGAAAAATACAGAGCAAGGCATCATTTCCTAAAGCACTTGCTTACAAACTTAGGATTGTGAGCTTTCGCCTGAAGTGACTGGCTGAGTTTTGAGCGAGATGATTCTTTAAGTCATTTAGCCCAGGACCATTAGTGACATCTGACACATTCAAAGGGGAAAATGGGTAAAATGCAGATTAGGTGAGGATCATTCTCTATTATGTCTCTGGGACATAATCATAGAGGATGACGGTGATGCCGTCACCACAGCATCAGTCAGTCACCCATTTGGTGGGGCCTTGACTTTTTTTCTAATAATGAGGTTTACTTTCGGTGAGCCGTCCGCATACCCACCTTCTCCCCACACCATGCTACAGACGTAGTTTATAAGATAGTTAGGGTACGGGTGCGCTTAACAGTTCAAATACTTGGTGAATCTGACCTCATCTTGTTATAGGAAAGCCTGAGGCTAACTAACTTCCTGGGGGTCAAATCCACAATTTAAACTCTGATTACAGACTATGGTTTCCTCAGTTCGGTACCAGAGAAATTGAATCTAGAGGTAGGGGAAGTAAAGGGGTGGACTTTGGCCATTTGATTAGGATTAAAGAAGGCTTCTAGCTCAAATTCTCTTTCTCAATGTGCTCTTTCTCGCTCCTTCTCTTTTTATGGTTAAAGATTTGAAGAACCTAAAGATTTGACTCCCCTGCATCTGATGGGTTCAAGGGAAACGCCTGTCTTTTATCTCACTTTCTACTTAAAAAAAAAAAGTACCAGCAAAAGTCTGATATTGTTTTTTTTCCTTCAACTTTCCTTGGATAGTGATTTCCCATTAAGTCCCAACCCGTCAAGGCTGCTCCTGTTAAGTGTCCTGCACATAATCTGAGATGTAGAGCAAGCTTTCCAGGGATTTAATCTATTGGCCAGATTAGCTTTGTGTTCTGTAATGAAAAGTATTTCGCTGCCTTTTAAAACCACATACTTCCTATGGAAAGAATATAAATGGGGGAAATAATTTGCATTCTTTTTCCCTACTGCTTTGGAAGCTGGTCAGTGGCAGTCAGTTGCTCAGGAAGTGATCTGTCGCGTGGCTGCTTCTCGGCTTTGGTACATAACACATATCACTCTTGTTAAAAGGTCTCTCCCTCTCCCTCCCCCACCCCTCC